TCAGCTAGAGCAGTGATCATTTGGGTCAGCAGTGTAATAAGCTGTGTGCCGTGTAGGCCGGCCAGTGCCACTGGCTTTTTATGTCCTGGGCCAGAACGATTCAGGGTTCCACTTTGCTTTTGTTGTTTGTGTGTTTTCTTTTATTAATTGCAGATATTCCCCTCTGTTGATTGTTCTTGACACTGTTCCTTTTACTGTTGCCGTGGAATCCATGATGAAAACGATTAAATCAACTCTTTCCTTTCTACCTCAGGAACGTTGTAGCAGATGTTGCTTTAAAGACAGATTTTCTGTGATTTAAAGACTGGTTTGAAGGTTTGCTGCTAGATTGTGCTGAAGTATAATTAATTTGCTATTTTTAATCAGAGCCGGTGGGGAAGATCTATTGTGCCTTAGAAAATGGGTCTTGTAAAAAAAATGCGTTTCAATAATTTAAAAATCATTTAGAATTATTTGTAATCAGCCTGCCAATCTTTGAAGTGGTCTGTATGTGTCAGCAAAAAAAATTCTTCGTGAGGGTGGGTGTGATTTTGTTTTTTTTTCATGCTTCACAGGACCGCAGAATGGTTGGAATGACCCCCCCGCTTTGAGCCGTGTGCCAAAGAAGAAGAAGGTAAGTGAGAGAGAGCAGATATCAAGTAAGGCTAGACTTTGCAGTCATTATAAAATATACAGGGATATAGTGAACAGACAGCTTTGTACAGAACATGACAAGTTAGACACACAAGATGGTAATGAATGAATAAATAAATAAGATGCAGAAATAGTGCAGCTTTTAACCAGAGCTGTGCAGCAAGATTGATTGTACATTATCTCGGTTTAGAAATGTAGGTGTAAAAGGCTGACAGTGAAAGCAGTAGGTGTATGAAGTACAGTGTGTGGCCGTCCTTTGATTTGTTATGTGCAACTGATGCAGAATGTAACCGGTGCAGATGGCTGGATGCGTGATCTGCCCAAAGGTTATGTATTTAAGCTGTTCAGTGAAGTCCCAGACAGGAGGGCTGAGGTATAGGTGTGATATATCTGTGATGTTGCTGGATTAATGGTCAGTGGAGCAAAGAGCCACTTATTCCAGCTGCTTCAGTAAAGCTTTATTTTATTGGCTGTTTCAGTATGATCTTTGGGGCATGGTGTAGCTCAGTGCATTGGGGATCTCTCTACGAATTGTGGGTTTGAATCCTTAAACCAGCAGTCTCATTGTAAGGCCCATGCGCTCCTCCAGGGACATTGGCTAATTTGGCTCTCTGACGCTCTCACCTGTGTCCTTCAGATTCCAGAGCATTACACTCCTCTGGCACCCATAATGGCACCCATAATGGCGGACCCACAGTCCCCTTCCTCCCTGCAACCACAGCCGATGGCTACAGGGCAGCCCGGCATCCAGGCCCCCTATGCGGGATTCCAGCCGTCCCAGGCTCCTCCCCCCGGGCACCTGGCCCAGTCCACCATGAACGCAGAGAGTGCGCCAGGGGCCCCTACTGGGGACGTTATACAGGTATCCACACCTCCTTCACAGATAGGCCACAAACCTACGCACTCACAGATAGGCCACAAACCTACGCACTCACAGATAGGCCACAAACCTACGCACTCACANTCACAGATAGGCCACAAACCTACGCACTCACAGATAGGCCACAAACCTACGCACTCACAGATAGGCCACAAACCTACGCACTCACACATAGGCCACAAACCTACGCACTCACACATAGGCCACAAACCTACGCACTCACACATAGGCCACAAACTGACGCTGCTCTACCTGCAGGATTCAGATTGCATGGCTGGTACCCATATGCTGTTGGATCTTAACCCTACAGGGATTCTCTAAAATGGCAAAAATGGGGATTGTCAGTGCATTAGTACTGTTTTTCCCTGAGGTTTTGCTTATTTTCTCTCCATCCTGCGTGATCTGCCCGCAGTCAGTACAGGCCCTGCCCGCGGAGAAGATCACCAAGAAGCCCATTCCTGAGGAGCACCTCATCTTGAAGACCACTTTTGAAGGGCTCATCCAGAAGTGCTTGGCTGCTGCCACTGACCCAGTAAGACATCACATTCCTAGTCGTGTCCTTTGTTTATGACAGTATATGCATATCATGAATTTCATTTGTCTTTTGTCTGTTTTTTTCCTGCACCCATAGCTCAGTCAGATCCAGTCCACGACCATCATACTTGCTATTTTTGCCAAGTGTAACAGCTAAAGCTCCTTCAAGTCACATAGATCATAGCCTGTATCATTTACAAACTGCTAAAACAAAAATGAACAACTCCCTTGTTGTTTCAGCAAACCAAGAGGAAACTGGATGATGCCAACAAGCGGCTCGAGTTCTTGTATGACAAACTTCGGGAGCAGACGGTGAGCATGGTGCTGGAGCAGGTGTGACGGGGCACGAGTCGGTGTGTCGGGCTTTAAAAGTGGCAATGCTTAATGGTACCATAACGGGGGTCTCCAACTAAGAGACACGCTCTTGTCCACATTAGAATGTCAGAGATTATCATGATTGTCATGTCGGTTTTTTGACCATCCTGTGAGACAGTTTTTGGAGCTTCCCAATTGTTGTTTGGTAAATCGAGGGTAACACTTCACTTGAGGGGGCACAAGTAGCTTAGCAACTGAACATGGGATCAGTATGTAGCTAACACTTAGTTTCTGGTTAATCAATACATTAAGTAAGAGTGTACTGATACATTATTTGTACCCCAGCAAGTAAAGTGTTATCAATACAGAGCTTTTCGAGTCAGATCTTGAGCCTGAAGCAGATCTGAAGCCTGATGATCAGCTGCGCCGGATCCTGGCGTAATCCCACTACCGTCTCACCCCCACAGCTGTCACCAGCGATCGTGAGCGGGCTCCACAACATGGCACGTAGCATCGAGTCGCGCTGTTATGCTGACGGCCTGCACATCCACACGCACATCGTCAGCAGCAGCAACTTCAGCGAGACGTCCGCCTTCATGCCCGTGCTCAAGGTGGTCCTAACGCAGGCCAACAAATTGGGGGTGTGACCCGAGGCCCCACCCAGCTCAGATACATAACACTGAAACACGAAAACAAGCCATCGGTATAAGTACGGTACCCGTGTAACAGTAGGACCAAAGGGTGTCCGTGTTGCTGTCTTACTATTACAGGAATATATTAAATATTTCAAGCAGTTTTTTAAATTTATATTGTTTTTCTTTTTTGTCCTGATTTGAGATATAATTTCAGAGCAGAGTGCAATGCAATCTAATGAATGGATAGATAACAATGGATCCAAGGCAGGAGATGCTCAAATGTCACCAGAATGTGTTTTTAATTCAGGTTAACAGAAGGACCTGATGTTAGTCATTTCCATGTCTCCCGAATGATGTTTTAATTGTTTTTATAATTATGTTTTTCCCTGGTCTTGTCAACTTTCATTATGCTGCCTTTTCCGTTCACAGTAAATAAAGTTTCTTTTTTTTTTAAATTTTGTCAAGCAGGAGAAATTTTAAGACCAACACCTTACAATATTTTCAATAAACAATATTTATTTACAACATGCCTTGCTTGTATGAGTTATTAAACAGGATACTGCAGGTTTACAGAGCAGACTGTGCACTAAACTAATGTTCCTAACTAATCCTAACTAATGCTCATTTTGAGGTTAGCCTGTGGTGTTACTTTTTAATTCCTCAAGCGTGTGTCCTGTAGTGCATCATTCTCCAGAATAAACTAAAGTTCATTTTCTGCCCTAAATTGTTGCTGAAGTCAAACCTGCAACAAGCTGGCCAACCTTGCAGTGTTTTTGTCCAGTGCATGAAAACCTGATGAGCCAGAGGAGTCTTTTTTTTAAAAGTGACGCATCACTGATTTGTTCCCTGCATCCAGGCTTTATTCCTCTAACATGGTTGAAATACTTTGTCAGTAGGTGTGTTTTTTTTCAGTGGCTCTGAAAAAAATGTCTGCAATTTAGCAAAACACAGTTCACATTCTCAGAGTAGGAAAATGTCTACTTATGATTTAAATGCGACCAAACGTTTTAGACAGTTGGTGTCAATTGATGCCATTTTTATCCTGCCAGAAATATGCACCATGTACTTCCATGCTGAATTACACATTGCCCGGGTTTTCTCAAGAGCACACTTAAATATTGGGAAAAAAGTTTGATCACTATGACTGACTCTTTCAAACTTTATATCACTGGCAGATTTGTTTTAACTTGTTTTTGAATTGACACAAACATAAATGTACAGATGTACAGGTTTTTATGGGGGGGGGGGGACTTATAGATGCCCCTTTTCAGACTGGCAATGTTTTGGTCTCAAGTCTGGGTCCTAAACCACCTCTGGCCACCGTTGGGACACTGATATCCTGGCGGATTCAGGGGTCCCAGCACCTTATACCTAAAATTAGGCGGTTGGGAGATACGTATATTACGCAATCATTCCCTATCGTAAAAATGAAACGTCGATTTGTCCTATATTTTTGTTCACTTTTTTGTGTCACATACTGTATTACCGTCTCCCCACCCTTGATAATCCCATATGGGTGTCGGTTAACAGACTCTAGTCCCCAAGGACGTACCTGTTTAATAACGCATTTTAATGAATGCCTCATTTACATTTTGATTACTTGATCACAACATTTAAAGACCCAGTGTAAAGACATTAAGAGTTAAAGTGGACTTAAAATATAACTTATGTGTTCATTTCTTGGTAGTCAAAGAACACTTGATCAGTGCGCGTTAAAATTAATAGTAAATTAATGAGAATAACAAAAGCGACCGCAATTATTTGTACCCAAGACACAGGGGTAATCATTTGATATATCTGAATAATTAACTTTTTGTGTATTCTGTTAATCAATTCTTTTTTTTCTGATATTATCCGAAATCTAACAGATCTCAGGGCTTTTTTCTTGTCTTTTTCTGCAGCGTTGAGTGTGCATATGCTGAAGCTTGCTAAAGATGAGTCCTTTCCGTCGCCTCATAGCCCAGCTGCTCCCGCATGCACACCACCGCGACTGCGACACGCGATTGGCTGCGGCACTGCAGGTCCGCGCGCCGCTGCTCCGACTCCGCGTCTCGGGCGCATCATAATGGGCGAGCAGGCAGTGCAACATCTGGCACTGGCGTAGCGGTGACCGCACTTGCTATCCAAGCCGCTTCTTTCCCTCTACACATTCAGAGCAATCGCCGTGACTTTTGTTAGCCGTCTGCCTATAAGCAGGGGTGTCTACTTCCCCCGTCATTGCTAAATAAGTGCTTTAATGCGGAGATGGTGAGTGTGCCGAATGGTAGTGCTCTGCAGAACCTGAAGCGGGTTCCTGGAGAACCGGGGGAAGACCACAAATATGAGGCAGCGGAGGTACCGGATGCAAATGGGAAGGACAAGTGCACCCAGAATATCGTCTGGAGAAACGTCGTGTGGATGAGCCTTCTTCACGCCGGGGCTGTTTACTCCCTGTTTCTCATCCCCAAGGCGCATCCTTTTACCTGGATATGGTGTAAGTCAATCGTGAGGCAGAAAGAACTTAACACCGCGCCAATAACTGGCTTGAGTAACTTAAACCTTGTGTCCAGAGGGTTTAAACCCGCACCTGAACACCTTCTAGGTAGGTGTCGCACGTTCCGCGAAGGTCCTGGTGAAAATTCCAGTGGGATAATTAATATAATAAATTTAATCTTGTTACAAACTCGCTTTTGGAGACGATCTGGTCTGTGATTCTCATCACTACAACTACTGAGTAGAGATATTAACTACAGCTACTTGTAGTAGCTCTAGTGGTGAATAACGCACAGCAGCTCAGTAGTGCAAAAACCAGTTAGAAACCGACTGACGACCGGTATCAACTGTAATTTATAATAGAAAATGGGCACAATGGTCTTATCTATATTATAATATACTAACATGAATATTATGCATAATATTAGATAGTATTAAACATTCATATAAACATGGACATTAATAGTAGCCTAATAGATTGTATTAAGCATAATATATAGCATAATTGAATATAAACATGGACTAAAATCCATAGTTATTCATTTGTAATGCCATGAATTTATTAGGTTGAAAATAATGCTTATAATGATTATACCCACTTATTAAATTACAAATATTAAATAGTATATTTAAGTGAGCCAGTATTGTGATCTCGAGAGGCGCGGTAGGCTATATCTTTTATTTTCTTTAAACATTAAACATCTACATAAACTAGATTCGCTTCTGAATATGACACTGTGTCCTCGGAATATAGTAAAATCTGATGACTACAATTTGGGCAGTGCATTTATTTAGAAACTGATGATAGGCATGAAATAATGTAAACCGATGTCTTGATGACGGTTCAGATTAAGCCATACGAGGTTAAAAAACACAAGATTGAATTGTTGTCATCCAAAGGTTCATCATACAGTTATTGTTTCTTATATATGAAAATATGAATATGATGAAGTTCGTCTGTTTTGAACTTTGTCGTTCAAAAGTCCATCTATAATATTCTATACAACATGTACAACATGATCGGTAACATGGCGCTTTAAACGGCGACGACGAAATTCTCACAGAAACACACATGCAAATCCCTGACCACCAAAGGGGTCCGTTAACTTTGTCATAATTTCGCTGACCGTGTCGGTGATGCTGTCCTTCGTCTCCCGAGAAGGCATGGAACTCTATATAACAGACGTGGCCAATGTGATAACTGCTTTATATGAACTGCAAAAAACACGGTAATTACAGGCTCTGTTTGAAAACTTTAGGTTTCCTGACCTACTATTTGGCACTATTTGATATGTACTATTAGAGACATATACAATTCATAAGTGATATAGGCTGCTTTTTTATTTTATTTGGTATTTTGACATCAGAATACTGTATGTATCATGTGTTATGTCGTACAGGTAACTGCCAGTCAGGGATACAAAGTGTGTTGAAAGCATGTACTTCCACACGGATGCGATTCCTGAGTTCGGCAGGTTATTATTTTGGCCGTCATGCCTGGAAGAAGATGTTTTTCGCTCATTAAACTAAGTAAATGAGAATTCATTATGAATGATAGCGTTCATCTTGTGGCGATGCTTTCGTTTTAGTTAATGATTGATATGCCGATTGCTATACCCGTGGTCTGTACTACGAAGCGGGGTTACTGGCTTATCGGGGTAACTTGTCCGATTTAAGGTAGTCTGGCCAAAATGTAAGTGAACGAATATGAAGTCCATTTAAACTGTGGTATCTTAAATCCGGCAAGTTACCCCGAAAGCCCCGCTTCGTAGTACAGGCCCCCGTTCTTGGGTAAATACAATGAACAGGTGTAGCTCATCAGAAGTCAGGTTGAATAGAAAACCTACTGGATAGTAGCTTTCCGGGACCATAGTTGGAGAGTCCTGGTTTTAATGGTGCTGACTCCCTCCCTTTTTCCTGTGAGCTGTGGCATATACATGATGTCATTTTCATTCCCACAACGCCATTCTTTGAAGCTAATTTCACTGCAAAATGAGAAAATACTACACAGTCACTTAGATGCCTCTCACACCTATCCTGGAGCGCTTCCAGTTTTATTTTTCACATTTAGAGTAAAACATCGTCCTGGTCTACAAAGTGTAGCACCCTATCTTATGAATGTACATCTCATCTGGGGTATAGCGGAAACATTATGACTATCAGTATTGGTGTGTATTGAAGTCAGCCTGAGCATCACATTATGATTGTTGTATCAGTGCAGGCTGCTAGTAAGTTTCTGTACCTCCATGAGAATTGAGATTGTATTGTGCATGTTACTAAGATGTGTTTTGGGCCTTGTGGAGGAGTGCTTTCAAGGCATCCATGCCCCGCCCCCAAACAGTGGCTTTTTGTGTTTGACCGTGTGCAGGTGTGTGCCTTGAGCTGGCCTGGCACCCTGTCCAGAGTGGACCTCTGCCTCATCTCCTGTGCTGTCTAGGATAGAATGTATGCCGCTATACATGTGTACATGTCCATAATATTGTTAATACCTGTGTGATGTCTTGCTCGAGAGAAATACAACATGATTCCTGAATCAAAATACTTTCTATTCTTGAATGTCAGTGACCCTCTTTTCATAATGTTACCATATTCTTCATGTTATACCATGTGTCTATCCATGTGACCTGCATTGAATACTGTAAGTAACTATAAAGAGAATGGCAAGATAATGTGTCTTAAAAGGGTATTTGCCTACCACAGACAGCCAGAATAGCATCACTGCACCTTGACATAGGTCATATATGTGTCTGAAACTCTACTCGAGGGATGCAGCACTTTAGAAGTGACGTTATTTAGTGCTATTTTGAGGTTGAAAAGTATTTCAGATACAGTTCTAGGATTTTGCAGATTAATTGGGTTACAGTCTGGTGACTGCGATGTTGATGGAATGTGGTTTATGCCATTTTTAAACCCATCAAATAATTCACTAACTGGTTGTGGCCTGGGAAGTAGGGCAATGTCACCCTCAATGGTTCCATTTCCGTCACCATAAGATACGTGTGATCGCTCTAAATGACTTTGCATTCACTGTCATCTAACTTGCCATCTAAAGCGGTTATCTGAACTATGGTGTGCCAGCAAATGTATCCTACAGCTTAGCTGCAAGATCTCATCACAACTAAAATGAGCACTTGTGGACCTATGTATTCTGTCATCTGCTGCACATTTTCACTTGTTGAGAATGGGGAGAAATATGACTCATCTGTCGATATGACTTGTATCCACTCTTCAGTAGACCACCAGCAGTGTTATTTGCACCATGTCAATGAAAGAGGTGCATGTATAGGTATAATAAGGTGCTTTCTCTGTATAGACTTCTGCACTTTACTTGAAAATGCTTGCCGACACTTTAGAGAGACAATTTGTAGTCAGCTCATTCATAGTTACTGATACCCTGTCTAGGATGTGTCCCAGCCTTCTGCCCTGTGCTGCCTGGGATTGACTCCAGGCTCTCCCACAACCCAGGCCAGGATAATCCATTAAAAGATGAAAAAGTTTTCTATGCGTCTTAAGTAAATTCATAGATTTGAGGAATATTTGTTTTCATACACAGTTGCCCCTGCTAATGAATATTTATTTTTCTTTTGGGTATTATATTCATTCATTCATTCATTTTCCAACCCGCTTTATCCTATTGGGTCGCGGGGGGGCCAGAGCCTATCCCAGAAGCAACGGGCACGAGGCAGGGAACAAGGGTATTATATTATTTCTAAAAATATTTAGATTCAAGATTCATTAATTGTCACATGCATAGTCATACAGGTACAACATGCAGTGAGATACAGGGGGTTAGTAATGTTTGAACACAATGTTTGTTGAGTTACTAAGAATTCTTCAACAGAACACTGTCTTTAAGGTATCGACAAGTAGTCTGCGGTACACCTAAAATACATGCTCAGTTTTATAAGGGCTTTTGCTGAATGCTAAACTCCTGCAGTATCATCTTATTTCCAATGACACTATGTAAATTCCTTGTGGTCCTGAGTTTTGAGGTTCTCCTTACATGCCCAGCTGCACTTTGCTGTATAAAATCTCTAATAATGTCAGTTACTTTCCTATATTAGGTGCATTTGAAGCCATGGGTGGCGAGGATAGAAATCAATTGATTTTTTTTGCATGTTGAACATACTATGGTGACGGCTAGCACTGTTCAAGTCCAAAACAGCTGGTATTTGAATAGGTGTAGTGTTACACTGGTAACCTTGTGATTGCAAGTGTCTGGTTTCTATGGAGACAAGAGCTTCACAAATTCCAGGAAGCCCTCGATGGTCTGAAAACAGATGCGCAAGTTTATATGAAATTCTGAATATTTCAATGATTTACATGGTTATCGCAGAGATCATTTTGTGTTTAGAAAAATACATAGTACTTTTCTGGCATGTTTGGTTTTGATATGGCTGTTTGAACATTGTGGCTCAGGGCCGGGCACAGACCTTTTGAGGGGCATGTGCTGAAATTGAAAAAAGGGCACCCCCCCAACCTCTCCACGAACCCCTCCACCACCAAAAATATAACACACAATAATATTCTTATATTATATTTAATTAGTATTAATAACTTTTATACAGATAATATATACATATAGAGGGTATCTTTAAAACTAATTACAACACTCTTCTGTGAGCCATGTGTTTGACAAAGGCATTTAAAGACCATTTAATTTCTAAATTATATTTTACGATAGCTTGGCATTATACAGTGCAAATACACCTGGCCTTCTAGTAAAGTTAGCTTTACCAATTTGCCTCCTGGGTGGTTGTCTGTGTATTATTTGTCCTGTGTTTGTGAATTGGTTGCTTTGTGTCAAACTCAAATGCAGTTACACTGCGGGTTTTTGACCAGCGAATGTGTGCAGTTTGTCCATGATTAAAATGACGACATCACATTACGTCAACATCACACCGGTGTGGTGATGCATTATATGAACCTTTATAGACATACTAGTGTTTATTTCATAAAGACAACATTGCACTTATTCAAACATCAAGATATTTTACCGTT